AAGCATAAGAAAACCTGCCCAGGCCATGAAAAAGCTCAAGGCCTGCTGTTGACTCTGTCACAGTAAAATAAGTGCTAAAACCGGTCACTCGCCATTTTAGACCTGTCTGCTGCCCACCACCTCAAACCCTGCCTTTTAAGCAAACGAAATAGACGCGAATTAAAAAACATGTCTGCAGGCCATCCCCAAGTCTGTAAGGGCGGAATACCAGGAACAGGATCCTGCCCCTCTATGGTGTGCAAGCAGCTCAGCATCTCCCAAGAGCAGAGACCAAAACGATGGACGGGTGCTTGTCCAAGGTCCCCCCAGTGCTGGGTCTCTTCGCATCACCCTGCTCTCCCTGACTCTGCATGGCAACTCTCCCGTGGGCCTGCTCAGCTTCGCCCTGGCTCGCCATGACCAGGGTTTCCCGCTGAGCAGGTGAGCCTTGCTCCCTCCAGCGAGGCCCTGGCTGTAGACTAAGGCTCAGACAACTGGCCGTCCCAGCAGGGATTCCAGCCCTGGGGCCCCCTTTCTGACCTCCCAGGGCCACTCTATTCCAAGAGAGCTGATCTGGGGCTCTAGGCAAAACCTTTCAGCTCTAACGCTCCTGGACCATCACTGTGCACCCACAAAACCTGGGTCTTCTGTGCACGCAACGGGTATTCCTGAGGTCCAGGCGAAGCTGGGCGCCTGAGCCAGGGCAGGGGTGCTTAGCGCACCCACAGACCTCGAAAAAGCAGAGCCCCGTGTCTGTTACCAGCCCAGGCCGTGCGGCGAGGCCAAGAACAGAACCGGGTGCCCACGCTCTGCCCCCGCCTGGCTGTCGGTCGCGTCCCCGAGGCTGTTTGGCTGGGCAGTGGGTCCTGGAAGCTGAGCACGTGTGCGACATCCTCCTGTCCAGAAAACTGCTCCCGGCCTGCGCCCAGGGCAGTGCACTGCGCCTCAACAAAGTGGGCGCCTGCACTGCGGGCTGGAAGGGGGCATCGAGGCTGCATGCTCCCCCAGGGCGACCTCGCCTCACCTCAGGCAGAGCAGACTACGACAGCGCGGATCAGGGCCCCTGCGAGCCTGCAGTGATGCATGAGCAGAGGCCGGCGTGCGCCGATTCCCAGAAGCTTTCGCATCTCTCTGGAAGTGTCAAGAGGCTTTAAAACATGGCAGAGCACAAGGCCCTGGCACTCAGCAGACTGCTCTTCCTAGACAGCCTAGGACTGGTTAAGGCTTGCCTTGAAGGGCTGGCGAGTGGGCTAGCTGTTTTCCTCAACCAATTCCTCAAGGCTTCACTAAAGTGAGTGCTTGGTGTTCCACGAGGAGAAGGGTGCCCCGAACCTCCAAACCTGCCCCTCTAAGTAGGTTCTGCCATCGCCTCACCAAAATCAAGCATATAAGCATATAAGGCCTTTAAGGGAAAGGGACGTTACTACAATGAGTGTGCAGTGCAGACTAGACAAAGTCTAGTTTCTAAACCAAACCCCCAAAGTCGCCCTCCCCTCATGGGCTAAAGTCCCCCCAAAAGGGACTGGCCCAGAGCAAGGCCTGAGAGCTGACACAGTTTAAGGCACCTTCTGGCAGGGACTATAGAAAGGGCCAGACATGGCCAGTCATGTCTGGGAGGGAGAGAGCAACATCAAAACCAAGATAAATGCTGCCACAGTCACCCCATGGATCTCCCCCATGTTTGTGTCCCCATGCAGGGCCAGGACACAAGAGCTGCTTCCCCACATGTCTCTGCCCCCGGTGCCCCCTAGGCCTCCTGGCCTATCCTGCTTCCTTCCTCCTCAGTCTCTTTCCAGCTGTTCCTCCTCCCTGCTCAGCTCCGCCCTCCTCTGAGTGTGGCAGGGAACCTGGACCGCCCTTTTCCTGGGGACCCTCTTTTACATTAGTGCACATTACAACCACCCTCTTTACAAAGCCTGCAACGTGTCGCCATGGGCGAGGTGGACACAGGAACAAGGGGACTAGAATTCAGGGCAGAGACTCAGGCAGGACAAGTGCCCAGGGCCTCTGAGGAGATGCGCTTCGACTTGCCAGGTGAAGGGGCTGCTCTCTGTGAGCGTCACCCCCTGGGGTACTGGAAAGAAAGACCCGGAGTCCTGGGTGGAGCTGTGACACAACCTGTGCAACGTCTATCGTCTGACAGATTCCGGGTAGATCGGGAAAAGCTCTGAAAAATCAGGCTTCCACTACTAACTTATTTTATGACCTCCCTTTTTTGTATAATCATGATATCAAAATATTCTGAGCAACCATCAGTTTACAACTGGATTGTCTTAGCCACATAAGGCAGGCAAGCTGCCCCAGGGCGAGAAATTCCTCTGTCTCCTGAGACAGAAGGCAAGCCCCAGGAGAGATAAGACCCCAGGGCATAAAAACTCCTGGGAAGCTTCCTTGGTTTCTTTATATAAAAAGCAAACCTCAGGCCCTCCCTGGTGGCACAGAGGGTTAAAGCACAGCACTAAGAGGATTAAGCCACTTCCGTATGAGTTCGATCCCCGCCCGCCCCGGAGGTGGCCACATGGTGTGGCAGACCTCTCCTGACCACCCACTACTCCCCTCAGCAGTGTATTTCGACAGTCTCCCTGTACTGCTCCCCACTCTGTCCCTGGTGAAGCCTCTCACCCTCTGCATCTCTGGCCTGTACCCCAGTTCTGTATGAACAAATAAATGAATCTTAAAAAAAAAAAAAAAAAAAGCAAACCTCAGACAAGACTCCCAGGGCATAAGGACTCATGGACAAATTTTAACCTTGTTTACACAGGTGTTGTTTGATATACAACTGTACAACTTTCTCTTAATTTACTCCTTTTAAAACAAGCACTAACTACTCTCTGCAAGCCTTAAATTAGCCATTAGCTTTTCTTTAGACAATCACTGATAACACTGCTAACACAATTTATTACTACCCCAAGACCCCTAACAACCTTTTGCTAACGAGTTCACCCCTTCCCAGACCCCTCTTCCTTTGAGTGATAACTAGACAGCTGTACACATGATAATTGTCACAAAACATATAATCTAGCATACCATAAATTGTTAAGAGAAGAATGTTTTTTCCCCTTGTCCTTGAGAATGTTTTATGGTGCTATCTCATTAACTTATCCTATGCATTATTGCAATTAACTACTTGTTACACCACATAAAGACAGGGTGGGACATGTCCGGAGATTCCAAAATCTTCGTCTTCCAGGACCTGAGTAGATGGACTGTCCAGAGGGGTCATAGGAAACAGTGACTATGGGGCTGAGAAAAATAATGGCGCTTTGTGAAATGTGTACCCTCCGGGGCTTACCACAGACAACTTCTGCGTCACAGCAGATCAGTCTGGAGCGGACAGTAATTAACCAATTTTGTATACGCACACCCAAAGGTTGGATGAACAGATGACTTCAAGGAAAAAGTCCTGTTTTGTTTTCCTATAAAAGAGATCGGTTGAAAGTGTTGGGGCACAGAAGGCTAGGGTTTGGGATGAGCGCAGGAGCAGGGAGATGAGGCCTGTCCCGTGAACTCTCCTCCTGGAGACTCGCTGGCACAGCAAGAACACTCACTTTTCCCTGAAAACTTCGTGGGAGGGGGTAAGGTCTGAGGTCAGAGGAGAGGGGTGTTGGCCTGAGTACCGCCGCAGAATTTGCAGCCTGGGCCCCAGTGCTCACCCCTGCTCTGTGCCAGGGTCTAACCCCGCCCCAACCTCACACTGAAGGCAGGTGCCCGTGAAGGGGTTGGCAGCTCTGGCGGGGGTTCCCCGGGTCACTCTCCTCACCCCACTCCCACCTCATGACTCAGCCTGGGAGAGGAGGGACTCTCCTCTGAGCCCAGGCAGGAGCCTCCATGCTCCACCTGCCATAGTCCTGGGTGCTGACCAAGAAGCGCGGAGAAGCTGAGGCCTATATCAGAAGGGGAGAGAGCCAGATCCCTTGGTTCTGAACCTTAAAATTTTGTTCTTGGGCTCTCCCTGGTGGAACAAGGGGTTAAAGCACGACATTATGAGGCTCTCAGAAGCCACTGCAGCACCAGTTTGATCCCCGGCCAGGGAGCTGACCCACATGGTGCGGCAGACCTTCCTGACCCGCTGCTGCTCCCCTCAGCAGTGGACTTCGTCAGTTAGTCTGTTCTGCTTCCCGCTCTGTCTCTGGTGGATCCTCTCGCTGCCCCTGCACCTCTGGCCTATAACCCAGGTCTGTATGTTACAGGACAGCAAATCTGTTACAGGACAGGAGGAGAGAGACACCCCGAAGCCCTAAACCTGCCTGCTCTAAGTGGGCTGTGTCTGTGGGGTGTCCCTTCCCGGCCCTGGTGCGTTATCTGGGGCTCCCCGGCCACTGGGGCCTCACGGGTGAGCAGCCCACACAGAGCCAGGGCTCGTCCCGACCCGGCAGGACACAGGGTGCTGGTATGCGCCCCCTCCCAGGCCACCAGGAAGCCGGGCCCGCGCCTCAGGCTGCCCCCTGCGCTGGCCAAGCGTGGCTCTGAGGGGCTCCCTTCGTCCAACAGTCCCTGCCCAGCCCCATTTCCTGAGCAGACCTCGACCCCGTGGACATGCTGTGTCTAGGGGATGCTTCGCTTCAGCAGCGGGACACAGCGTCTCAGTTACTTCGTCCTGCCTCTCACGGGCACCCGGTGGGCACCAGCTTCCGGTGGACACTATCTGGCCGGGTTTCCACAACTCCTGTGGCCCTCTCTGGCCCCCCAGATCCCCCAGCTCAGGCCCTGCGTCCATGCCGGGTGCACGTCTGTGTGTGTCCCACACGGCGCTGGTGTGACTGCAGGGGGCAATGGGGGGCACCCTCGGCTTCCCGAGGGCCGTGGTCAGCTTCAGTGCCCGCTCCCGATAGTCTCCCGGCACCTTATCCCAACCCCTCGAGGCCGAGACCAGTTCCAGGCTCTGGTCTCGAGCTCCCAGGACCGTGGGGCCGCCCCACCTGTGCTCCCAGGTGGGGCCTCTGTGGAGCCAGCCCAAGTGCCACCATGCAGGCAGAGGACAGAGTCGCTGGGGGCACCCAGGGCCTGCCCACTCCCTCCCCATGCCTGAGCCCTCTGCTCCTCTGCCCACAGCCCTAGGCAGCCATGCCGCACAGCCCACATCCAGAGAGGAAGAGATGGCCCAGAGCTTCTCTGACTACTCTGTGGGCTCCGAGTCAGACAGCTTCAAGGAGGAGACCATCTACGACACCATCTAGGCCACCTCACAAAAGTTGGGCGGTGCCAGGCCGGGGGAGGCCGCGGGCAACACGCTGGTGATCCGCATCCTCATCCAGGACCTGCAGCAGATGGTGAGCGCCCCCCCATAACCCCCAAGCTGGCAGGGCCCAGCCTGCCGCCTCAGCCCTGGTCCCTGCCCCTCCCACCACTACAGGCCTGCTGCGTGCCAGCGGGCCAGGCACGTTTGAGTGCAGGGCACAGGTGCACTGCCGGACTGGGCCAGCAGTTCTGCCCGGCGCTCTGCCTCCCTGGCCCCACAGGCGGCACCATCCGAGCTGCCCACCTGTCTGCCACCATCTTCAGCTTCTGGCCCCAAAAGGGCCTCCAACCGTCTAGCCCCACTGGGCTATAGGCGCCCGACAGGGAAAAGCCAGCAACCCATGGGATACGGTCACCACAATATGCCCGGGGCCAGCGGCCGGCACTCCAGTCCACCGTCACTGGACAAGACCCGGCCAGGCACTGGCCGTGTGGGGCAGCAGGTCCAGCCCCTGCCCTTGTCTGTCCCCACAGGCGGGGCTGCTGGGAGCTCGTGCTCACTGGGAGAGCGGCCCGCAGCACAGGTCGCACCATCAGGCCACCAGAGCAATGCTGCAGCCCTCAGCCCCGGCGGCCCGGCACACCCGCGGCATCCCCACCTCCTAAGCCTGCCACAGCCGGCTGGCAGGCTCTGTCCACCGCAGACAGGCTGCAAACCTCTGGCCGCGCGGCCTTGGGGCTTGGCCCAGTTTTGGGGGTCGCCCTGGGTGGCAGCTCTTTGTGAGAAGCTGAGCAGCAGCGGCTAGGGCCGTGGCCCGGCCACACCCTGCCTCTGCCTGCAGGGACAAAGGAGGCAGCTTCAGACCCCGCGCCAGTACCCGAAACACCCTGGCTCTGCCCAGAGCGCTCGGGGCATCACCGGAGCTGGACGCCCAGTCTCAGGTCAGCGTTCAGCTCTAAGCCGTGGGGAGAGGCAGGGAGGGCCCCGTTCCGGCCTGGACGCCGAGACCCCCATGCGTCCCTGGGGCCCTGCGCGAGGACGGCTGCGTAGTGGGCGGGGGCACAGCAGGGTGGACCCAGGACAGGTATGGGCTGGGAACACAGCCCACGCTTCTCCCGGTCATTCCCTCCTGGCTGCTTTGAGTCAGAACAGCCCTGCCTCGCTCCACCCTGGCAGGGGACCACCCCCAGGCAGCGGGCGTCCACGTGGGTCGTGGGGGTCAGTCTCCTGCTTCACCTCACAGGCCAGCAGGAGCTGTCGGGGCGGGGGGTGCACAGCTTGGGCTCCCCTTGGTGCTGGCACCTCCTGGCTCCAGTCGGGGGTCCCTGGTCACCTGGACAGACCCAGGCATCACCAGGGTGGGGGGCAGGGGGCGCAGCTGGAAGTCCCTGAGCTGTGACCGAAGGAGCCTCCAGCCTCTGCTGCCCTTCAACATTGGAGGGAGGCAGGGGCATGGGCGGGGTCAGGGTCCGGGCCCATTCTTACGGGCTGTGATGTCCAGGCAAAGTGACCCTGATTGGTTCGTGTGTGCCCTTGACTCATTGTACAAAACAGGTCTGGTGGCAGCTGGCACAAGGTTTGAATCACCCTTGTGTTTGTTGCCTTTGGGGGAGCTGCATGGAGACCGTGGGGAGGGGCTCCAGGGGCAGAAATGGGGGACCGGGGGCAGGAGTGAGGAGCAGGGCACTGAAGAAGCTGTGGGCGGTGGGGGTGGGACATGGAAACGGGCCACTGGGTGTCAGTCAGATCAGGCAGAGCCCCCGTGCTGCCACTAGAAAGGCGCCCCCCCACAAAGCCCCGGGGGGAAGTGCGTGGGGTGCCGCCCCCAGGGCCTCTCCCCAGGCCCCCCCCCCCCCCCCTGCAGCTGCCCCTCCCCAGCCTGCCTCTGGCGCTGCGGCCCTGCAGACTGACTAGGCCTCCAGCCCACCTGCTTCCAGCGGCCCCTTCCGGGATGGTGGCTGGTGGCGGTGATCTGCCTTTGCTGGGACTGTCGCCTCTGCCTCAGGGGATGCTGGCCGGGCTGCTGAAGGGGCCATCTGGGGAAACTTCCCTGGCGACCCCAGGCCCCCGCTTTCTGAATCCGGCACCGCCCCAAACCAGCAGCACCCCACCTCGTTCTACAGGAAGGTCGTGCGGGGGTGGGGGCACGTGAGCCCACGGCCTGGCGCTAGCCAGCGGTGAAGTGGCCGAGGGCCAGCTCCGGTCTGTCCGTCCGTCACCTTCAGAGGTCTGCTGGACCGGGCGTCCTGACGGCCCTGCGGCCACCACCACGCCCAGGTAGGGGGTGGGCTGTGCTGACCAGGGAGTCCCTACGAGTGGTCAGTAGGGACCACTGGGGCGGCAGCGAGCCAGCAGCCCGAGCCCACTGCCCGCTGCGAGCCCGCAGCGGCTCCTGGCGGGGTCCAGGGCGCGGACGGCGGGGAGGCCCGCTGACCCCAGCCCTCCCTCCCGCAGAAGTGCCTGCGCTTCAACCCGGATGCCACGGTGTGGACAGCCAGGCTGCGTGTGCTCTGCTCCCTGAACCAGAACCTGCAGGACGTGCTCAACTACGGGCTGTTCCAGCGGGCCAGCAACGGGCGCTACGGCAAGTTCCTGGAGGAGGAGCGGCTCCTGCGTGAATACCCACAGCTGCCTGGGGGCAAGGGCATGCCCTCACTGGAGGTAGGCGGGTCTGGTGCGGCACCTCGTTGGGCCCCAGGCAGCTGGGGAAGGGGGGCGGCAGGACCTGACGTCCACGCCCAGGTGTGCGCCTGCCCCGGCTGCCCCATGCTGCGAAGGCGGCTTCTGGAGGCCCAATTGCCCCAGCGGCGCTGTACAGGCCGCCCCGGGGTACAGAGGCCCAGCGGCGGGCAGAGGCTGCTCGACTGCCCATCCAGCACTGGCGGGACTGTGAGACTGGAGCCGACCAGCTCTGGGGGGGCTCCTGCGGGGGGCAGGGCCTGGGGCGCAGTGCAGGAGAACGGCAGTGAGAGACCCCTGGGGTGGCCAAGACAGGATCCTCTGGGTGTGGCCGGCTCACCCAGGACGGTCCTGCCTGGCCTCGTGAAGAGCAGGGCCCGGGGAACTACTGCGAATGACGGAGGAGCATCCTACTGACCCTCGCAGCCATGGCTTTGCTGTGCACCAGACCCCTGGCATCCCCAAGCCTCTCCCGCAGCCAATGCTCCTGGTCCGGCCCCGCCGCCCAGCCTTCCCGCTGGGGTCCCTGAGCCCTAAGGAGTCTCACGCCTGGCGGTGGGTCAGCGGCTGCCCAGGGCGCAGGTGACGTGGCTCGGCCACGGATGTCAGCGCTTGACTTGGCTGCTTGGAAAACCAGTTTCGGCAGTGCAGCCAAGGAATTTCCCTGTGGGCAGAGAATATTCCACTGGGCTTCCAGAGGGCAGGAGAGACGGGGCTTCTGGGGCCGCAGCGGGGTGCCGCAGCTTGGGGCACTCTCCCCTGCATGATTGTTCCAGGGTAGCCCAAAGTGGACTGGGCCGCCTGTCTGTGGGCCTCACCTGCACGCTCACAATTCAGTTATACTGCAGGTACACGGAAAAGGGTCATAACGAGTTTATTTACAAAAGGGGAGAGAAACAGGAGACAACCCAGGGAAAGAGAGTGGGATACAAAGTCACTGCAATAAATTACACTAGGCTGACTGAACACGCGGAGTCACCGGGTCTCGTGAGCCGTTTCCTGAGCCACAGCATGAGATGCAATCGCAGCCCTATTTATCCCCAAATGTCCCAGAATTCCTGCTAGCTCTGCCCTGGGGTCCTCGCAGTTCGCTCCCTGGTGCTGCTGGGAGTTGTAGTTTCCAGTCACTGGAGTAGGGGGCAGAGTCCAGAAAGCTGGAGTAGCCGGTAGAGTCCATAAGACTGCAGAGTTCCTTTAGGACATCCTGCCCCTTAACATGATGAGCCAGCGATGGAGCCGGTCTCCCCAAGGGCTCTGCGAGGCCCAAGGTGGACCCGGCTCCCCAAGGCCGCCTCTCATCTCGCGCAGGAACCGAGTCATCAGGGCCAGCAGAAGCTGCTGGCCTACTGGGACCTGGGGCCCTGGTGACGGCAGGTCGTGGCCCCCGCCATGCGGCCCCCACCACCCTCACATGGCTCCTCCTGCCCACGTTTGGGTTTCAGCGGCTCTTTCTGACTGGTACAGAGCGGGGCACCCCAGGAGCCCCAGGCCTGTCCACCCTAAACAGGGCCTGCACCCCACAGGATGCCACACCCTAGTTGTGGCCCTTCGTGGGAAGGGGCTTCAGCACAGCTGCTGTGCCCTCGGCAGACAGCCCCGGAGACACCATCCCCTCATGGCGAAGTCTAGCCAGACAGGGTGGCCCCAGCAGGGCCCTGAGGCCCAAGAGCTGCCCCAGGTCTTAGCACCTGCCATTGGGGCCCACTGGAGAGGGGCAGCAGTGGCCAGACAGTCACTCGGAAGGAGACAGGTAGCTGCGGCTGCAACTGTTCCCTCCCGCCAGGGCCAGACTGCTTGCCCGCCTGCCCAGACGCTGCCCTCTGTCCTCTTGCCCCCCCTCCCAAGCTCCTCCCTAGCGTCTCCTGCCTGCTTAGCGCCACCCTCCTTGGGTGAGGCAGGAGACCTGGAACCTCCCCTTTCCTGGGGATCCCCTGTTGCAGGACTTTGGCCCACACTGCAGGGCCCCCGGGCTCTTGGGCATCACAGGCTCAGGCCAGAGGAGCCGGGCGTGTCCGCTGAACACGGTGTGAAACGCTCACTGGGCCCCTTTTCCCCATTGTAGTTTCGCTACAAGAAGCGGGTGTATAAACAGTCCACACTGGACAAGAAGCAGCTGGCCAGGCTCCACACAAAGGTGAGAGGCCCACTGTCCCCCGCCCCTCCTCTGGGCCAGCCACAGAGGACTCAGCTCCAGGGAGTTGCTCGCTGTCACTGCAGCTGCCCAGGGCTGGGAGCACACCCCCAGCCCCGCTCCACTCGCTGATGACATGGCCCGGGAGTCCAGCTGTGGGTCTCCACGGGGGTGCAGGGTCTTGCCCTTTGGGAAGTGGGTGGGCCGTCCTGCAGCTCCCAGAAGGTCCATGAGAGGCCAGGGCACCCAGGCTCTGGGCTCCAGAGGCAGCGAGTGCCCCGGCCATCCAGGAGGCCAGCGTCCATCTACCAGGCACGAAGACACACTCTGTACAGACTTTCTGGGTGTTTTGCTCTGTTTAGACTAATCTGAAAAAATGCATGGACCACATTCAGCACCGGTCAGTGGAGAAGATTGTCAAGATGCTGGAACATAATTTCCATGACCTGGACACTGGAGGTGCATGCTGAGTGGACAGCCCAGTAAATGCGGAAGTGGGGTTCAACCCAGGCCGATTCCATCACCAGTGTCCCAGAAAACACAGGTCGCGATGGTGGGATTGGCTGGGTTCTTCAGTCTGGGACACAACCACTTGGTTTCGACAGAAGGCCTTTGAACATTGCCAGACCCCCATGACCAACAAAGCCAGGTCCCTGGCTATGTCCTTGTGTCCGGCCATCCAGCCATGGCTGCAAGAGCGTCCTCAGCCCTGTGAGCAGCGCACTTGGGGCCTGGCTTCGCTCCCACTTTGGCCAGGCAGTAGGCACTCAG